TGCAATCGCAGGTTGCGAATAGGATTTGAAACAAAGCATAAGGCAATATAGGACAAAACCTATATTGAAATGAGTAAGTTAAAAGAGTATATATAATGTTCTTCACGAACGTTCCGGAATAGCAAGCCGGAATCGATAGCTGAACTGCATGCAAACTTTAAAGTCTTAACCTAGAAGAATAACAGAAGGTGACGATTTAAAAAACTTAAAATATTATATTTAATTATAATATTTATCGTCAATGAACACTCTCGACTACGGCTTCTTCAGATTTAGCAACATATCTGCTTAATTACCTGCACAGGTACTTCGACCAGCTCTACTTCAGACCCAGGTTTTCTTTTGCCGAAGCTCAAACGCTGGCAGATGCACGAACATTGGGGAAAAAGACGACAGCATTCACGGTGCTCCTGTTAATGTATTGTGAAAGTGCGGCAATGCTTAACAGTACAACGAATTTCGTCACCTGGCAGCCGAACGTGGCGCAAGCAGCCCCTTGGCTTGACTAGCAGCTAACCTAACGGTCCTTCTCAGGGCCAGAAATGTTAACCAGTGTGAAATACGCCCAGCGGTCTTTATGAGAGCCATGGAGGAGGAAGAAAGTGACACAAAGGTCCTTATAAGGCTAAGAGAAGTGAGGCGTGTGGGGCGCACACTCTGCATTTTCCAGCTGAATGTCGAAGGCATTTCCCATGCAAAATGCGAATGCCTATCGATGATGTTAAAAAAAACCGGATTAACATCGCCATCCTACAAGAGACATAAATCGAAGACGATCGCAAAGCGGTCAGATGTAAAATTACTGGGTACAGTATTATCGCTGACACCACTGGCACCTAACACGGTTTAGCTACCTATGTCGGAGTAGGCCTCATGGATGTTGCAGTGCTAAACTAGCGAAGGTCAGGTACGAGACCAAGGACGAGAACTGAATGGACTCAAATTTATCAGTGAGTGTTGGGGAAATCACCGTAATGAACATATACAGGCAATCCGGAACCAGCTGTCCGACACCATCGCTGTCATCGTTTCCTCACCCACTTTAATAACTTTAATAACCACCGTAAGCATGCGGCTATACGGGGAACAATGCAGCGAGTGAACAACCAACCGACTGGACGTCAGCAGCTGGCGTATTCTTGTGCCACGATCCTAAGCAGCGACGTACGTTTAGATCAGCCAGACGGAAGAGGCTAAACGACTGCAAGCCTCTCTGCTTACTGTGCACAACTAGGCAACTAATTGAGCGAACTTTGCCAATGTGGCTTTCTTCTATAATTGAAGCCGTCTTTCTGTTGAATAAGCTGGTTTTATTGCTTATCCCACTTGTTATTTCTCCTGAATGATGTTAACTTTCAAAGCGTTAAAAGCTTGCATCTCACTACAAACGGACAAACGTGCATTTCCTCTGACAGTTAAGGTGCATTGACAGGCGGTATACTGGTACAAACCAAAAGTATTTACTAGCACTGAACTTTCAGAATTCTCAGCAGTGTGTGCTTATCAATGGGTGTAAAATGTGTCGTGAATAGCATTAACGGTATTTTTACTACTGTTCTCCAGGTTTATGTTATATCGTTGCACAGTTTCCCTTTAGTTATAGACTATTCAGGAAGTCGCAACTCTATGAATTCACTATACATTTCTTCTTGGGTCAGACAACATATTCATCACTCAGACAGTTTTTCACTAGATAATGCTTATGCCTTCACGTTGCCATCAAAAAAGGGCGTAAACTTGGTATTGAAGAAGTCTGATTATATTCTCTGGCGTTACATTCAGTTTTTTTTTATGATAACAAATGCACAGTAATATATTGTGTGGATAATTTTTAATGGCTTGCGATTCGGTTTCTGTAACTTTCGATTAAGTAGTATCTTAAGATATATGCTTATAAATTTTGCTTGTACGCCAGAAATTCATGCATCCTTTATTTTGTAGGGAAGATGTTAAAGAAGACGAGGCTGGTTCAATCAGGCTGAGCGTTGCAGATGTGTTGCGACGACAAAAGCGCGAACTTGCCGCCAGGAAGGGCAACGTTCGCTTGGGTATTGTAAGTTGTTCGAGCTGTCATAGCTTTACGGAAATGTTTTAAAATGCTCCTTGATCAAGATGCGTCATGTGTTCATCGTGGTCGATATGTCGGAAGCGGCGTGTAACAACGTGGAGTTCGTTCTCCTTGGTCGGACAACGGGTCTAAAGGTATTTCATTCTTTCCCGTTATTTGGGCACTGATTTCCCAAAATACGAAGAGTCAAAATCGTCAGAAGACTGCATTGTGTATCAGTTAATACAGATTTGCGTTATGCAAGTTAATTATCTATCAGTCAGTTTCGCTGACCACTTGTACATTCGGGTCGCGGAGGCAGACGCGTCAGGCCATGCTTCCAACGTTCCCGATCCAGTGCCAGCGTTTAGCTTCGACAGAAGACAACCGGAGTCTAGTGTAAAGTCCTTCAGTACACTTAATCTAAGTTAATTTTCTACCGGTCGGATATGCATGTAGTACTGGCATCGCTTTATTTCTGGGGGCATTCGCAACGCATACCCTAACTGGCTATGCACCAGAGCTATCTTAGATATCCATATCTCAGGCCATAACCAGGCGCGTTTGCCCAGCGATT